AGGACTTACGATGAGACCTGAAGGTACTGAAGGAGCGGAGCATCAAACAGGGGTTGCTGGTGTACTGCCATGGCATGCAGGGTGCCGGTAGGGCTGTCGAGTCATTCTTGCTGTGCTTGGTGCAGCTCCGTCTGCAGAGCTGACACCTCTTTGCCTGTTAGCTTTGCCAACCTGGTGAGATCCACTAGAAGAGAAGCTCATCATTGCTGCGGGGATCTGCGTAGGCAGCTTCATGAATGACATGGCCATCAAGTCTGTCAAGCTGAAGGCAACGACCCGGAGATCCTTGTACCATAAGATTTGTTTGTTCCAGCTGATGTCAAGGTGTTCTGGGGAGGCCGTGGACTGCAGAATGTTTGCTGCGTGCTTTGTGGCCCGGTTCTTCAGCCGTTTGTGGGCGCTTTTTTGTGGTGTTAGCCATGCAGTCTTTCCGGGGCTGGGGATGATGTGCGTGTCCTCATGTTTGTTAATCCATTCCCCAAGTCGCTGTTTGGCCGCTGTGGTCGGCATGGGGTCAAGCAGCACGTGGCATGCAAACGCCCGGCGGCCGTACACAATGACTTCGGTCACGGAGGATTAAAGGCCAAGTTTGTGAAGCAGGTCCTTGGCCTCAGCTTCAATTTTTTCCCGCCTAGTGTCGAGATGCCAGCCCCCGATGATAAGTCGGTTCCAGTCAACTTCCAGGTCCAAAGAAGTGACGGGACCATTGCCGGAAGAACGGGGGGGGACAGAGCTGCCCGGGAGAACTCACGAGGAAGGGAAGAGGAAGCCTTTGCTCTGGGTGGTGCAGAGGGGGTTGCATGCCTTGAGAACTCTTGCACCTGGTGGGGACCAACTGGACAAACATTATTTCGGAAAAAAAAATGCAAGAGCCTAGGAAAAAGCCAAAAAAAATGCCAAACAAAAAAGCGAGAAAAATGCAAACAAAACGATGATTTCGGAAAAAAGTTGCAAAACTTAGGTAAACTGCAAGAACGAAAAAATGCGAACTGCGCTTTTGCACCTGCATTTGGCCTTGCATTTGTGTTCTTTTTTGCATTGTGTTGTTGCACTTGCATGTTTTTTTGGGCATTTTTGGTTTTCATTTTGTTGCATTACATGGTGCGTTTTTTCAATATTGCTGTTTTCTAGAGTAAGCTCACAAGATCTCACAAGGCACCAACACAATCCTAAAGAGAATTTTGAGCCAGATACTTGAGCCAAAATGGATCAAAATGGCTATGGGGAGTATGAGGCCAAAAGTTCTACCTACAAGAATGATCAGGATGATCCAACAATGTTTCCGACCATCCCGAGCAATCTGGCTGGGGCACGTCAGGCTGGAAGGAACATCATGGCACATCATCCCAACAAATCGGCAACTCCAGGAATACAAAACACTTGTAGCAAGCATGATACAAAGCAAGTCAGCACACAGGCTGATGTGTCGTATGATTTGGGCAGTCCTCGTGATTCGATTGTGTTTCCCCCTCATTGTGGGCAAATGCATGCAAATGTGGGCAACAACTAGTGGCGCTCACCTACACATCCTATACTGTACAAAAGCACAGCCCCGAGTTGGCCCCAAGAAAGGCCTGACAAGGCAGAAGGAACATGAAGGAACTCCTGAATCCCAGACATGGCCAGACCTTGATCCTCACTGCTGTGACGCGTGACGCTGAGTACCCGCACCGAAAGAGACCCGGGAGCAAAAGCATCTCTTCGGCCAAAGACTTTGACTTGACTTTCGCCCCTGGCCAAAGCAACTGAGGTATGTTGAGGTTGGACCAGGTTGGATCTGCTGAATCTCTCTCCATGATGACATCCTGATGCGACATCGCATTAGCCATCCTTAGTCTGCATGTGCCCACACTTTGCCCACACTTCTTCGCATGCTCAATCATCCTCTTTATATTTTGCCCCAAGTAATGCCCAGAACATGCAAGAATATGAAAAAAAATTGTTTGCAATCAGTTGCACATGTCTTTTCACATTTCAGAGGAAAAACCAGCAGGTTGACTTTTGCACCTTGCATTCTGATGCTCGTCATATCTTGGCGGCCTTCCTCTCTCCTTGTCAGAAATCTTTTTCGACCTCAAATCTTCTCACTGCAAAGCTTGAAATATCTTTGAACCTGCTCCACCGGTTAGCGGGTGAAATTTTGGCAGAAGTATAGATCTGGTGAAATTTAGTGACATCAGAGTCAAGGAAATGAAATGTGAATGTGATCATCTATAATCCAATGTCACCACATTGTGATAGATATCGACCGACCTGACCGATGAGCGATGCTTCTGAGCGCCTCTAAGAGACGGGCCATGTTTCGGGAGGATGTCTGCATATTCGCTGGGCAGGACAGACGGGTTTTTCCTCGGCGGTACCGAGAAAACAAGCCCATGGGCCCATGGCCTGGCGACACAATGAATTCATAACATACAAAAATGTACAAAACATGTACAAGAATGCATGCCCATCTCATATTTACACATATGGTATATAAAAATAATATTGTAAAAGGATAAATAAATAATAGTAATAGAGTTGCGTAATAAATGTTATTGATTATTTGTAAAAAAAAATATGCATATACGATATGTATGTATGATGTGTATGATATGCGTGTATGTATGTATGCATGCATGCATGTACGTACGTAAGTATGTACGTATGCCCGTACGTACACGTAGGTAGGTAGGTAGGTAGGTAGGTAGGTATGTAGGTAGGTAGGTATGTATGTATGTAATGCATGTATGTAACTAATGCAGGTAATGAGTGTACGTAATTAGTGTATGTAATTATTAACGTACGTACGTACGTACGTAAGTATGTATGTATGTAATTAATGTATGTAATCAATGTATGCAATTAATGTATGTAATTTATGTAATTAATGTATGGAATAAATGCATGTAATTAATGCATGTAATTTAATGTATGTGATTAAAATTGAGCTGCTTATGTTTAACAATGATCACCAAAAAGACACAAAACAGTAAAACACGCGACTCAACCGACGGGCAGCTGCAGCGATCTGTTTTGCCATCTTGAGACAAACCAGTAAGTTAAGACAAAATGTGCTGACCCGTAAGGAGAGGTACTATACATGTGAAAGTATGGGTATATGAAGTGACCATTTCTTTCAAATCCCCCCTTACTGTGAACTATACAGGGTCTATCACAACCAGCAACCTAAATAGGGTGATCAGGCCTACGGTCGGATGCATACTACACAGTCTTAAGGCTCGGCTGATGATTCCAGGCAAGGGATGTGATAGATCCCATTAAGAAATCTTCCATGCCTGGCAATTTCTGTCCGTGCGCCTAACGGGTGCTTAATTACGGATGCATGAAACCCAATTTAGTTACGGATGCATGAAGTCCAAAATGCAATAGGCGAGGCGCCGTAGCAGCCAACCACCATTAGCATGGACAAGGAAATTCCAAAGAAAATCCAACTGACAAAATGAACTGACAAAGCAAGTCCAAAAATGAAAGCGTAGATGGAACTTAGTTACATCCACACAAATCTGCGCTTAGCGGCTGCAGCATGTTGAATTAAACTTCGGCACTTGTGGTTGAAGTCCAATGGAGATGGCAAAGGAAAATCCAACGACTGAAATTGTAGATGGAACTTAGTTACATCCACAAAACTGTGTCCTGAGTGGGGTGCAACATACAGAAAGGTAATTACAGAAGTTGCGGCTGAGATCTCAAATGAAACTAAAGAGTTTTGAACGTTCACAGGATCTATCAAAAGCAGTTTGATTGCCGTGACAGGAGGATTCCTGTAACCAAAGTCCAAACCTAAGTGGCTGAGATGGGCTTGACGCAGAGCAAATCCAAAACACCTGACCACATATACACCGGCAAAGCCTTCTTCATGACATCCGCCTTTTGATGGCTTGTCTGGATGTACTGAATGAGAATATCCTCGGCTGAAAAGGCTTCGCATGTGCTCGGGACGTTAATGCGATGAAATTTGGCCAAATGCCTAAGTTTCGGGCTATAGCTTTTGGCAATTATTGCCATCACCGCTTGGTTGTCTTCAAAACACTTAAGAATGAAGCCGGGGTCGATCACACGTTGACAAACTGCCAAAAGTGAGATGGCCTCTCCAAACAATGCGGTGCTCAAGGCAACAAACTCTGCTTATGTCGTTGGTCTTGAGACAGCCCTCTGGGTTTTTGATCCCCATAGGATGATAGCAAATGAGTCTGGGCCGTCTGGGCCTTCCAGAGCAATAATGAAACCACTGGTCGACCTCATATCGGGTGATGATCCGAAATCACTATCAACAAAAAGCAATAACCACAGCTTAGCTGGAGGGTCTTTGATACGCATGACATGAGCGTAATCAACAGTGGCAGCAATGTAGCCAACTAATCGGGCTGCAGGCTTGTCATCATTGGTGCTCCATCAAGTGATGTTACGGGCAAGAGTGTTAATGGCAACCATGATGTCTGGACGACTGATTCGTCCGAGCCACATGAGCTTCATCACAAGCTTTGCAGATGATGTTGAGAGCTGTCCAACACATTGATCATCAATATCAAACAAGGTTCCGCCATCACAGTGAGGGGTGCGGAAATGCTTGACCTTCTTGCCGGACAATTGTTTGTAAAGTTCGACACACTGCTTTGCAAAATGAAGGGCAAGTCCTTGATCGCAAGAGACATGATTCCTACCAAGTACTTTTGAAAGCTCGGCGGGATCTTCGAGTTGGACGTGCTTCTGCAAAGTTGACCAAAACTTACTGTGGATTTTCTGAGGACCACTCAGCGTCAGATCATCAACATAAACACTGAGGGCTAGACTCGTGGATGGGAAATGAAAACAACTAGGTTGTTCTGGCATCTCAACGCCTCCAAGTTCTTTTGACAGAATGGTGGCAAGATGATTTTGCCATGATGCGGATGCCAAAGGATGTCCATACAACGATCGGACGAGCGGGGCAACAGGCTGGTGAATGTGCTTGGCATGAGCTGGCACAAGTTCTGCAGAAAGCAAAACATATGTTGGGCATGATGAATCAAGAAAGCTTATGCTTTGATGCACTCTGAAGTTGAGCATGCGTTTCTCTCGACAAGCCCAAAAGCAATGATCATGTTGAGACCACCAAGGCTCGTTGGCGCAGAGGCTGCTAGCCCGTCAAAGACGGCGGCTGCCTGATTGGCTTCATCACGCACCGCATCACCCCTGAAGACAATGCGAGCTTTAATGACCCATTCTGATGGGATTGTTTCATACCCTTTAATGCTAACTATGACTATTACCATTAAAGCACCAACATGAATTTTCTGACCCTTAGCTTGGGCTTCGGCTAAGGCTTCTGTTTTGGGACGGGTCTTTGGCTCATCCCAAGTGCCATTCGCAAGAAGTCCTTGCTTTTCCGAGTTGATGGCATCCAAGACCTCTGGACGGTCTTTCCATTCACTTCGATCCAAAAGCCGATGAACATAAGCAGGAGTTACCACTTCTTGGCAGCCTACATTGAACATCGCAATGTCAAGGGGAACCGATGGATACCCTGGCACAAGCTTTTGGCGGTGAGATTGATGAGATCTTGCAACACATGGCAAAGAGCACACATGCTGATTGATAACATGAGGAAACAAGGATTGAATCATGATATTGCAAAGCTTTGGTGGATAAAAGGCTGACATTCTGGTCCATTTTCCTTGAAGGTGAGCATGACTATTGTGGGCGCACTTCAAAACTGCAAGGTTCTTGGCCAAGCGCAATGAAGAGGTAAGAAATCTCCAAGGCTTCTTGGCAGGTTGGCCATCAGCTTCAACACCAACCGTGCAGCCATTGAAAGTGGCTGAATGCAGGTTTCTTTCAACAATTCACGACTGAATTGATGGCAAAGCCCAACCAGTACAATAGCGTGGCCATGCGAAACTGCAATCCCCACCGTTGTCAAGACAGATGTTAGCCACCCGAATGAATTGCTCTACCAAGGCAGCACTTTCGGCTTGTTCTTGATTGATCTTTGCCACCAATCTCGGATACTTCGTCCGATTCAAATGTTGCCATTGGTTCCAGGGCCTGCATTCGATGGATCCGTGCATGGAGCACCCTTCTAAAGCACCTACCTGAGCGATGAGCTGCTCTATGCTGTGAGGATCTTCCAAATTGATATCTTCTTTACTCAGCCGGATAACTCTCAAACCACTTTCATGTCCAACTTTGCCAAGGTTGGAGTCCTTGCCGCAAGCAAATTCGAACAAAACATCCTTACCAGTGCGACTATGTTTTCCCCTGCCATGTTTTGGAGGCTTAATCTCAGGAGCTGCAGTGGCGCCAAGGCAGCCAACCTGCCCCCCGTGATCAAAAGATCCCTGATACATTGGTTGCACATCTTCTTGTGGCAAGCTGGCTGCGGCATCGCAGGCAATACTAGCTACGGCACCTAAACCAGTGGCAGGAGGTTCGTCAGCTTCATTATCTGCGTCTGATTCATGAAAAGAGACATCAGGAGGAGTTTTGATTGGAGTTCGGCTTCATAGGGCTCGTCAAGATCCGATGGAGGTGGGCATTCGGGCACCAAATCTTCTGCAAAACCACCACCAGAAGCTTCATCTCTGATGTGCATTGGCTCAATAGCAGAAACTTTTGAAGACGCAGGAACTTCAGGCTCAAAAAAAGAACCATCTACATCCTTTCGACCAAAGGCTTCTTCAAAGCGCGCACTGCATTCTTGATTTTGAGACGAAATATCATTCTCACAACCCTTACATCCTTTTGTGGCATCGCTTTTTAGCATTCGGGCATGGGTCACATACGAGTTTTTTGGCTTGATTTCAGAATCCACAAAAGGAACAGGCACTGCGTCAATGCCATGAAGCTCAGTGAGACGAGGATCGTCTAGCTCCTTCAATGCCGCTTCAGCTGCGCTGGCCAATGGAGACTTCACATCTTCAGGCATATAAACCTCTGTGTCATGAAATTGGGATACAGGATAGGATGATACACCTTCACGAAGGTGGGAGCACAAAACAAATTGCAAAACACCTCCGTACCCCATTCCAAAGTCCAATCGCCATCAACAAGGTCTGCATTCGGGCTGAACTTGAACTTTCCTGCATCTTTGGTCTAACAAAACCCAAGTGACCAAGCAAATAATGGGGTCCAAGAAACTCTTTTCCAAAGGCAAGTTCCCAACGTGTTTTTCCCTCACTTTCTTTCAAGAATGCGGACATGGCAGTTGCAACGTACGAGCATGCTTGAGGCCAGAGCTGGGGTCTGGCAGCAAAACCTGCTTGCAAAAACAATGACCTGGCAATCTCTTGAAACGTCCTCATTTCACGCTCCAAGACTGAGTTGCGGGGAACGCGTGATGGAACTGAGCTCTCCGGCAACCAATTGTTTTCGATGACAGCTTTCAAGGTTTCTCCGGCAGCGTCTGAACGAACAATGGTATAGGAGTTTAGATTTGATGCTAGTCGGGATGCTTCTCTTGAGATAGTTGGATAAGCTTGCAAAACTTTTGAGAAACGATCTAGAACAATCAAGACGGCATGCTCTTTTCCTCTTGAAGACTTGAATACAATCAACTGGTCGCATGACAACTGTTGTCCAAAAGCTTCAGGCTCCGCTAGATCAAGGTCTTCATTGACTACTCTCCTGCTTTTGACCCTTTTGCTATAAAGTCTGGCTCTATTGCAAGCATCACATGTGGACAGTTTCTGAAAATGAGTCAAGTTGTGATCAAACGGAGGGGGCGCAAGAATTTCATGTTCCACGGATGCAGGGTCGCTTGGCATTCCAAGATCTATGCTAGGCTCAACGGCTGGCTCAGCTGACAAAACTTCAGGAACATCAACCGGCTCCGCGGCGGGATCTGAGGGAGGCAAAACATCGATGACACTACTTCCGGGAAATGGTTCTGCCGGCGTCCCAGGAATGACAATAAAATTGTTTCTGAAAAAGGGAACATTTTGAGTGACTCTTGATGCGTAAAACTTGTTCTCCTCATCGCGGTTGAGATGGCACTTGGAGGGGTCACGAACAAGAAAGGGCAGGGAGCCCGGCAGCCAAATGAAACCTAATCCATTCTGTTCACATGAAGGCAATTGATCTGACCATTGGGAAAGAGTCCAAAAGGAAATGGTTTCTTGGTCCTGAAATCCAATGGTGTCGGATGACTTCTTGAAACCACCACCTGTCGAGAAATCCAACTTTTCATGGGAATCGTTAGCAAAACCGGAAAAGAGGGATCGGTGATATCCCTGTTCCTGCAACGCTTCATATGACACCAAATGTCGACCTGCGCCAGTGTCGGCGGCCCACTCAAGTCCTCCAATGGCTTAAGATGGAGTGACTATGGAGCTCAGTGCCGCAACAATCGCAACGGCCGCTGCGACTTTCGGAGTTGCAGGCTTGGGCTTGGCTTTTGAATCGGCTTTTGAGCCTTTGGGCTTAGCAGGGGGAGTTTTAACATGACTATAGTGGCACTTATCCCCATGAACCCAACCATTAGGCATCTGATGGAAAATGCATGGAATCTCTGCCTTCTCCTCAGCCGTCATCGGCTTTCCGGGTTTTTTTCTTTGACTTACCCTTTCGCATTTTTGGGAGGCCGGGAGGCCCATTGGGGGCATCTTTGGGTTTTGTGGCGCTAACTGCGGCAGCTACAGAGGCTTTGGCTTTGGCAGGAGACGCTTTTGCTGGGACTGCTGGGGTCTTCGCTTTCGGCTTGTCTCGCTTCTTTTGTTTGCGAAGGGATTGCTCAATGAATCGAGCATTCACGTCTTCACGTCCTTCAACCGAAAACTCTTGCAACTTTCCCCAAAGGGAGTTGAACTCACGCATGGAGGAATCATCTGGGGATCTTTTGATTTCATCAATCAAAGTCTCCAAACGACGTACGGTCCGAAGCTTGTGGAAGAGAAACTCTCCAAGCATTCTTTGATTGGGCCACTGCTCACTCGGGATTTGGTTCAAAACCTTCATCAGGCTAGATGAAAACTCTTGCAAATCAGCAACTGGGTATCCATTGGGTTCCACCAAAAAGATCGATTGAGAGGTGATGAGCGGCCCACGGACCCTATCCAAGTCGAAGCGTCGAGAGATCATTTGGATGACTGCCCGGCCTCGTGGAGCTTGACTTTGACGGGTACAACTCTCAATTTGCTTTGGCATGTCGACGGGCACAAATTCTTGGCATGTTGACGGACACCATCATTTTGGCACATCGACGGACACTCCTTTGGCATGTCAACGGAGACAATCTTCTTTGGCATGTCGACGGGAACATGTTTTTGCATGTCGACGGAGACAATCTTGTTTGGCATGTCGACGGGGACAACCCTTTTGGCATGGAATTAATGATGTAATTCATGTATGTAATGAGTAATGAATGTATGTAATTAATGTGTGTAATTAATGCATGTAATTCATGTATGTAATCCTTGTATGTAATTCATGTATGCAGTTAATGCATGTAATAAATACATGTAATTAATGCACGTAATTAATGCACGTAGTTAATGCATGTAATTAATGTAATTAATGTACGTATGTATGGATGTATGGATGGATGTCAGCAGGAGCGAGATTCAGTTGCCCCCACAAAATCCGGTCGGCTTGGATTCCACGCGGCGTCTTGTACACCAGCAGAAAGTGTCCATCTTCATTGGGCCGAAAGCAGGCTGTAACCCTTGGCTGCATGGTTTTCTCTTTCTTGATGCAACAGATCAACATCTCCCTTTGGGGCCGCCGTTTGCCCGTTTCATGGGGTGGTTGTTACCGAGGTTTAGTTTAAGTAAGGTCTTTTAAGGGTTGGTTTAGGGTTTCTTTGAGTTTAATTTCGGAATTTAGGCTTTGTTTAGGTTTTGTTGGTGCTATTTGGGTTAGTTTTTGGGTATCTTTGCTTTAGGGTTAAGGATTCTTGTTTGGTTTTATTTAAGGGCTGACGCCCCTCGTCGGCTCCGCCGGATTTCTCGACCCTCCATTTCATCGCAGTGTGGGCTTGAAAGCTTTTGGATGGGGACCTGCTTCAGAAATATATTCCTTATGTTTTTTTGAAAAAAGGTCATGGAATAGGAACTTTGTTGGAAATAGACGGCTTTTTTGGGGAGCAAGTGAGTTCCCGAAAGCTCCTGCCAAGGGTTGTTCCCGAAGAACTGCTGCCAATTTCAACTTGTTACTTCGTGTAAAGGTGCCTCTGTGCAAAGACTTCTCTGTGTAAAAGCTTACTTTTGTGTGTAAAAGTTTCTGTGTAAAAACCACTTTGTGTAAAGACTTCTTTGTGTAAAAGCTTCTGTGTGTGAAAGCTTCTCTGTGTGAAACGTCTGTGTAAAGATTTCACTGTGTGTAAAAGCTTCCGTGTGTAAAAACTCTCTGTGTAAAGTGTAAAGGCTTCTCTGTGTAAAAGCTTCTGTGTGTAAACGCGTCTGTGTGTGAAAGCTATATATCTGTGTAAAGACTTCTTTGTGTAACAGCTTCTGTGTGTAAAGGCTCCTAGACGTTTGTGTGCAAAAGCTCCTTAGAGTAAAGACTTCTCTGTGTAAAACCTTCTGTGTGTAAAAAGCTCCTTTGTGTAAAGACTTCTCTGTGTAAAAGCCCCTGTGTGTGTAAATGCTTTTGTGTGTAAAAGCTCCTCTGTGTAAAGGCTTCTCTGTGTAAAAGCTTCTGTGTGCAAACGCGTCTGTGTGTAAAAACTCTCTCTGTCAGGCCTTCTTCGTGTAAAAAGTTCTGCGTGAAAAAGCTCCTAGACGTTTGTGTGCGAAAGCTCCTTGGAGTAAAGACTTCTCTGTGTAAAACCTTCTGTGTGTAAAAAGCTCCTTTGTGTAAGGACTTCTCTGTGTAAAAGCCCCTGTGTGTGTAAAAGCTTGCTGTGTGTAAAAGCTCCTCTGTGTGAAGGCTTCTCTGTGTAAAAGCTTCTGTGTGCAAACGCGTCTGTGTGTAAAAAGCCCTCTGTGTAAAGACTTCTTTGTGTAACAGCTTCTGTGTGTAAAGGCTCCTAGACGTTTGTGTGCAAAAGCTATAGAGTAAAGACTTCTCTGTGTAAAACCTTCTGTATGTAAAAAGCTCCTTTGTGTAAAGACTTCTCTGTGTAAAAGCCCCTGTGTGTGTAAAAGCTTGTTGTGTGCAAATGCTTTTGTGTGTAAAAACTCCTCTGTGTAAAGGCTTCTCTGTGTAAAAGCTTCTATGTGCAAACGCGTCTGTGTGTAAAAACTCTCTCTGTCAGGCCTTCTTCGTGTAAAAAGTTCTGTGTGAAAAAGCTCCTAGACGTTTGTGTGCGAAAGCTCCTTAGAGTAAAGACTTCTCTGTGTAAAACCTTCTGTGTGTAAAAAGCTCCTTTGTGTAAGGACTTCTCTGTGTAAAAGCCCCTGTGTGTGTAAAAGCTTGCTGTGTGTAAATGCTTTTGTGTGTAAAAGCTCCTCTGTGTGAAGGCTTCTCTGTGTAAAAGCTTCTGTGTGCAAACGCGTCTGTGTGTAAAAAGCCCTCTGTGTAAAGACTTCTTTGTGTCTTTGTGTAACAGCTGTGTGTGTGTAAAGGCTCCTAGACGTTTGTGTGCAAAAGCTCCTTAGAGTAAAGACTTCTCTGTGTAAAACCTTCTGTATGTAAAAAGCTCCTTTGTGTAAAGACTTCTCTGTGTAAAAGCCACTGTATGTGTAAAAGCTTCTGTGCGACTCCTCCATCCAGCTTTCTTTCGGGTCACGCTGTCGTCCAGCTTCAATCTGCAACATTGTTTCTTGTGGAAGAATGCAAAGAACAGGTGAAAGCATCGCAGGTTAAAAAATTGAACATAAACAGCGCACAGAGTGCTGTAATTTACAGCATTTTGCGCTGTCAGATGGCAAGAACCCGCGTAAATACCACAGTTTTAGTCCCCGAAAGTGGCTAAAACACTGTTATTTACAGGGTTTCGTTCACGTCACGATCTTCGATTTTTTGAAAAACGCGTAAATACCAGCGTTTTTTGCGTTCATCAATGCAAAAAATCGGTTCAAAAAGGGAAGAAAATGCTGTAATTTACAGGGGTTTGGCGCTGCCACGGGCAAAAAACTGCGTAAATACCAGCGTTTCGGCGTCCAAAAGTTGCCAAAACACCGCTATTTACAGTGTTTCGTGCCTTCCACCTTTTCTTGAAATTGCAAAAACACTGTGAATACCAGCAGTTTTTGCAATCAACCCGCCAAAAATGCTGTAATTTACAGTGTTTTTTGCTTGGCTTTCAAAAACACTGGTATTTGCGGTGTTTTGTGCATCTTGGGTCCAAAAAGCATTGGTATTTACAGCATTTTCTGCTTTTTTGCATGGCTCCCGCAAAAGACGTTAAAACGCAAAAATGCTGTAATTTACAGCATTTTGTGACTTTCGAAAAGCGAAAAATCGTCCGAAAAATGTGTCAAAACGGCACTTTTTTCCGATTTTAGGTGCCCTCCAAACGGGGGGGGGGGCCTTTTGCTCTTGGAGACGCTGATGAGCGACCCGGATTCCGTCCAAAAAGCTTTCCCCCACCCTCCTGAAGGATTTTTGGTGTTTTTCGGGGCCTGGCGTCGGAGGGTCGGCGGCTTGGGGCGCGCCTCACCTTAGAGCTCTAGTCGCTCTGGGACGCTCGTAGGGCAAGCCACTCGTGGGGAGCCGGCGGAGCCGAATTTAGGGTGTCTTTTTTTTCCATGCGGATTTCTTTAGGGCTGCTTTACGGGATTTAGGTGGATTTAGGGTGTAGGTATGGCTGATTCAGGGGAGTTCATTTTGGGTTGGGTTAATTTGGTTGTTCCTTCAGGTTTTACGCTTTGTCAAGGGTTTTAGTTCAAGTAGGTTCGAAACACAGCATTCACGGAGAATATGTTTAGATATTTTTAGAAATGGTTCAACAAAGTCACCAGACGCAGGCAATATCTGTAGTTTGCATGGTCGCAGTTTGCGGAAAGAAACGCACCGAAGTAACACAGCAGTCAAATGTCAGCCCCCTAGCGTAAGATCTCTACTTGAAGCCGTGCTGCTTTAATGCATCGTGCACTTTGGAGTTGTTGGCCACTTTTAGAACAAACTCCGCCTCGTTGAGTTCCCAGTGCCTGGAGCTTGCAGCCACTGCCAGGCATCCATGCTGGCGATGCTAGGGTCAGATACGGTCAGATTGAAATACTATTGATTATATGAATTATATATTTATATAGTGTACAAACCTGCAAAGTAAATAGTGGAAGGCTGAGCCTAGCGCATGCAAGCGTCCTCCTTCAGTGTCTTTACAGTAGTGCTATCAGCCTTGGTGTTGAATCCAGAAGCGCCAGGTGACACCATGATCTGTCAGAATCTGTCATGCTGACATCACAGTCATATGCGCAACAAGAAAAATAAAGAAAAGACAGCACGCTCTTCTGCAGGATGCGAGGCCCACACAACTCGATACGTAAGATGCTGCTTCTGCTCGGAGTATGGCATCACATACGTGACCAGGATGGTGTCTCTGAAGGTCCCTCGTCAGATGAGACGGTGTATTGAGCGCAGTCCACGCCACAAACCGATATCTACTCCTTTTGATTCAAACCCTAGCTCCAAGCGATTCCAAGCCGATCCCGGAGCTATATTGTCGCAGTATATCCATATCGGGGCTCTATGCACATCTATGAGCTATATTTTCAAGTATGTCCCTATCAGGAAGCTATATTGTCTGATATTGATCTGATATTGTCGGTGTATGTCCAATCACGGGGCTATGCAATCAATGGCTAGTCAGCAACTAAGAAAGGGCTGGGTCGGAAACAAAAACAGGACTGACTGGGAAAATTGCGAAGGTATAACGACGGGCTAAGTTGGCAACTTAGAAAGGGTGAGTCCATCTGCAAGTGTATGTTGCCCCGCACCACCCCACCACACACCCCCTATCGTTGCTGACTGGGATAGTTGCCGATTCAGGTAGTTGCTGACTTGGATAGTTGCCGGCTCGGACATGGGTAGTAGTCGTTGGCTCGCAGGGCTTAATTGCTGACTCGTGGTTGCTGACTTGGTTAATGGCTGGCTAGGGTCGAGGTTCATTTCAAGATCCTGTCAAGTATTCTTTTGGTCGGCACAACTAGGCGACCCGGCTCTCACGCACCTCCTCCTGCTCAGACCTCAAGAGATACTATCAAAATTCAGATGTGAAGGAGGAAGGGCAATTGAAGGTGTTCAAATTTGGGACCTGGGAATTCTAAGTGCCAAACTTGATTATCATCAAGTCCCGGACACCCTGCGTAACAAACCCATGCCTGGGCAACACCGTAGCCCCTCAGAGTCCAAACACAGAATCCTGAATTTTCACAGGTTCACGTGAGGTGCTGGCTGGTCCCTTTTTTCCCGCCCAAAGACCTAGCTGTTCAGCTCGGTTTGCAAAAGGAAAGCAGCAACATACAAATATATACAAATGCAAATGCATATGCGGTATACATGATCATACACTATAGTGATATGAGTATATATATATATATCATATTATATATATATATATATGTGTGTGTGTGTCCTGTATACATATGTGTGTATATATATATATATAACAGGAAACTGCAAGAATATGAACAGCATCAACAAGAAAAAACAAATTGTGCAGAACAACGTCCTCCCGTCACAAACCTGCGTGATCTGCTCCAGCAGGACTTGCTCCATTGACCGTCGGATCTGTGCCGTGCGTTGCTCAAGGGCCTGTCAACATCACCCGCGGCATTTAAACAGGAAAATTGATTAAGCTTATGAAGCCACGTGGCTCCAAGCGGTCCCCAACCCATGGGTAATCATGGAGTATATTAGTATATCAATGATTAAACGATCTGCGTGCGCTTGCTGCGCATGGCGGTCTGCGCTACGGTCAGCCTCAGCAGCCTGATCATAGCCATCGGCCAGTGCCTTACAGCTGCATCAGGGGGCCCCCAAAAAAGACCGAAGGCAAAGTTTAGCCAAGGCTCATAGCGGTCTCTCTCCCTTCCGACGCGACAAATGGATACAGTTGTTGGATCAGAGACTTTGGGTCACTTTGAGCATTCAAATGCATGCAAATTTGGTTTACATTCATGACTGGATGGAAAGCAGGCATGGAACACTGCCTTTTTACCCCACTAAAGCTGCTCTCTGATTCTCATCTATTTTGCTTAAACTAACCTATCTCCTGGACAACATGCAAAGCACCGTCTAGGCCGATGCCCCTGTTGAAAGCAAAAGTTGCATCTCTAGATGCACAGCCGTTGGGACAGGCACTGAAAGGGGTATGACTAGGGTTCCATATCAATTTTTGCAGTTTCCAAAGTCAAGTGTGGGCCATAAGTTCCCAACATCCGCAACAGGAATCAGGTTACTGAGTCCATACGGTCCATAGGTTGTACTGCTATTTACCATTCATATCCAACGGAGCACCCAGCCTGTAGCCAGCTTGGTGCTTACGCTGTGCTTCGTAGAGCTTGTCCCTACCTGATGCTGGCAGCCAAACCAACAAAATTTTGTCTCCACGGCACAGACGGAACAGCAGCTGTCCCACTTACTGTCACCATCATCGGAGCTGCAACATCCGATGGCTACCCAAATCGAAGACAATCTCGCAAGGTGTTCAGATGCTTCGCTCGGGCCCTGGCATTCGTCTGCTTCACACCGTCTGAATGCCAGCTCGCTGTTGGTAATCTGGGCTTAAGAAAGCGAAGGTGAGGGGTCAACAAGCCAGTCCTTGTAATTTCTTGGGGTACTTGCTCATTGAACCGAACCATTCTTCCGTGATTTTGGTGTATTGTTGAGGGCTTGAACGAACTCTGCCTTAGTATATGGCTTATATCGGCACTCACTAGCTACAGCTAGCTCCAGACCTGCTGTGCGCAACCACCCTCTGGAGCCTGCAACCTGTCCTCCAAGACTTCCAGCCTTTCTGCGCCTGACAAGATTTGAAATTGGGCTTGGAGATATGTAGGAAGATCATGGTTTCCACGCTGCAAGGAGGGCATGGCATGACAGCAAAGTCGATACATCAAGTTCAAATTCACAATGAAGAAACGCTAGTGCAAAGACATCGCGAATCATCGGAATATATGCCGGAAGGCATCAGATGTGAAGGAACGAAATTTATATACTCAGGAAACCACTTGCACATGAGCTCTAGCATTATCATGGAATTCCTGGCGTTGCGTGTCTTGCAGGAGTCTCGACGATGTGACACACAGGGATACAATCAGAAGGAGATCAAGTGTCTTGAATGCGACTTTCCCCGGCGCGATCCAACAAGCAGCACTTCGGATCATCAACTTATCAAGGCTACGCGAAGTCTGCGCGAAGCCTACGTGGACTACACAGGTAGCCTACGCAAGGAGGACCATGAGGACCCCCCTGTTAAAAAAACGCAGCTCAACTGATATCAAATGTATTATATGCTCGTATCTGTGGCCCCCCGACGATTGCGACGTTCTGACTGCAGCAGACGGAGAAGTGTCCTCAAGGATAAGATGTCCAAGCCTAGGCTCGTTCCAAGTTGGCTTTTGAAAACATTGCTTGCTACCAGCATGCCCTGAACTTGCCCAGTCGTCCGTCCAAGGATGTCAAGCACGAAGACCATTCTGAGACACCGACTTTGGGGTGTTGCATGAAACTCCTTGTAGAGCTTGGCATCCGCCCCCTCTGCCTGACATCTTGGGACACTAGTGGCATGGCCGTGTGCTATTTGAAGACTTTGGCAGGACGTCCAACGCAGCCGTGTTCTTTATGTTCTTTCTTTGTGGTCCCCCCTAACAGTATCCTTGATCCTCAACCATTTGCTGTGGCGTGCCAAGTGGCCATACACGGAGCTGGCCAGGGCAAGGCAAAAGATCTATAAAGGCATTCGCAAATGAGGTATATGACTCCATCATGACTCTATCATGACTCTATCATGACTCTATCATGACTCTATCATGACTCTATCCAACGAAGTGGTCCAATTATTTTGCATCTGAAATGTCTGAGCCTTTCCAATTCAACCTGGATGTCCCAAATTTTCCATCTGGAATATTGGAGTCTGGCTTCTCTTGTGCTAAAGGTAGCCACAGCATGCAATACACCTGGAGGGAAGCGTTGCACTAGGAGATTCCTAGCTGTTTCCTTGCCAAAGAGACAAACGGCAACCTCCACATACCTCCAGTAGATTAAATTGCTAGCACGACAGGTGACATTGTCGGGCGGTTCAATGACTTCAAATCTCAGTTGAAAGAGCCGTTTTTTCAGGTTATGTGCCGGAAAAGTGTTCAACGATATTTCAACGCTGGTGCGCAATCGACCTTCAGCAATCAGACTTCAACCATAAAATTAACAAGGTTGTTTGGCTTTTTCCTCTGGGCTGGGCGAAGATCGTCTGAAACTTCTGGGAAAAGAAAGGCCTCATCACTGGTCAACATTACGGAGCATTCGCCGATTTAGTTGCAGTGCATACCGGTGTATACCGGTGCATACCATATACCTGGGCATATCTGGGCATGCTCAGTTCACCAGGAGGCCAAGCACATGTATGCCATGCATGCCCTTGCAGCAAAGAGAGATCTGCATCCTGCCGCCCTACTGGGGCGCATTCTGTTCAACAAGCGTCACCAGGCATTCTTGGAACGAACATGAACCAACAAGGGAACAAGACTCTTAACAAGACTTGATAAAGTGACTTTTTGCTCCAGTGCCACGTCAACCCACACTTATGCCCACTGGTAACTCTTTTGCATTTGAACCTGAATAGACCTTGAGCCATGGCAGCTTCAGGTGGCGCATCGTTTCTAAAGATTCACCATGATTCATAAGTTATTTTTTAAAGCATCCACCAGCCGCTTTGCCATTGACTACGGGTCGAAAATCGCAGCTTGCGAGCACCTGCTGTACAATGTGCAACATCCATGTCAGGACGTCTTAGGCATCAAACATTGGCTTCTTGACTCTCACCTCATTCCAAAAAGTACATCAATGGAAACACTCTCAAAGGATTACTCCTTGGTAGTTGTCGTCACAAAGTGTGGGCGGAGCTTGCATCCAGTCAGCAAAAAATCGAAGCAGCTGCTGAGCTGTGCTGAGAGCGCAGCCATGATGAAAGCTGGGTCCTTTGTGATGGCCTTGAAGTCAACCAAGCCACATCTGCGGGTCAACCTCATCGATGCATCGATGGCTTAAGGCATGTGGGCTTGAAGAATGCCACTGAAAGTGGGATAAGCAATGCTGTGCTGCTACAAGCAATGCTGGTATAAATTCTGAGCAACCGGTGCGCAAACAAAGGGTACTAGGGGATACAGATTCAGATACAGCACAAACAATAGGAGAAACATCCCGAGGATCGCGCGACTGAAGCTCTTCCTCTGTCCAGAAGCGGTACGGGTTGCTGTTTGTTCCCATCCTTGCGCAGCATATCCGGATCCCATACACTAGTTGCCTAAAATATCATGGCGCTAGTTGCCTAAGAGATCCTAAGAGCCATACGCCCGCAGTGGGCCCCTCGGCATGAAAGTAGAGAGGACAAAGACTCCGCCGGGCCTCCACGAGTCCAGGGTGAACTTGACACAGTGGAAGTAGATGGATGGCCAAATGAGACGGAGGCGGTTCCAAGCCACTCTTGACATATGAGTGGCGGACAAAATTACTTACTACCCGCAATGGACATGGCCAAAGAGGGTGGTCCCCTATTGGTTGTGAAGGTTTGTACTCCCATGCTATGTGCACAAGTAGGGTATCGGTAAGTGGGTGGTCCCCTATCGGTTGTGAATGTTTTCGCACAAATTTGAACATCCCATGTCCACTCCCCACTACTCTAGTCTTCCGCTAATTTTGTCGGTTACTCACATGATCTGATAAGTCATGTCGAGTCATGTCGGGTCATGTCAAGTCACCATCAGGCACCAGCCTCAAGACCCTGGTGATCTCCGCCACAGCGTTTTCAGGGTTGGGCCTGAAGGGTTCTACCCCCATGTTGCACGGTTTCTGAAAAGTCACAAGGCAAAGGAACCAGGAGCTAAGTGGTTCAAGGCCCGGGCCAGCAATGAATTGCAGCACCTGCCAAATGCTGATCGTGAATGATGATATAAATTACCATACTGTATGTTTCATATAATTATGAGTAATTATGCTGAACATGCTGAATTACGGATTGTTCGTGACTCTTCACTTCTGCCTGCGTGAACTCCACCAAGGGAGTTGGATTCGAAGGGCAAACGGGCCTCGGAGACTTGACCGTCTACGAGCTCTCACAACTTGCTGATGCTGCCCAACGCTGCTTTCATGTTCACTCCTGCACTTTCCAGGTGTAGCACTGTCGTGTTGAATAATTTTGTTTCCCGGCGCATATCACAAAAGAAATATCTAGGTCAGCGTGCAATGTCTCCACGCACCAGTTTTAGGGCTGTCTGGCCCGGCATCTTTGGATTTGCCTCAGGCATGGAAAGTCTATGAACCGCGCTATCTTGGACCAACGGTTTCCTGGATCCCCGTTCTGGCATGAAACACTTTCTAGTTGCGCGACAATTTCTTGCTTGACATTTGCAGAACACGCCCACCTGCCCCGTTACCCTTGCGATTCTTGCAACAACTGGTTCTTACAAACATGATCTGACTATCTCTGACCGGCCAACAACTGAGGACTCGAAAATTAAGTCCAGGTAGGTGCGTAATCTGTGCCAAAATCCTTCTTTGCAAAGTCATCAACCTTGCATGAGTGAGGTCAGCGGCTATCTCCTCTCAACTCAGAGCTCTCAAATTGATAGAATATGACAGACCCATGCATAGCGCTGAAGTTTCATGTGCCCTGGGCTAATTTTCAGACTTCTTAAATTAAATCCTCTAGGGTGCCACTTTTTATGGATGGGAAAGCGACTTATGATTTGTATATGATTTGTTTATGGCTTTGAATATGGGAAAATGGTTTATGAGTCCCGAATGCTCAGCAAGGGTTCCCGTTTCACTCTGGGGGTTTGGGGTTTGAGGGTGTGTTCGCTCGACGTTGTGTTTACGGCCGCAACCGTCCGCAACCGTTCGCAACCTTTCGCAGCCGTTCGCAGCCGTCCGCAACCGTTCGCGTGAAGGCCGTATGGCCGTGCCTATGGCGAGTTTTGCAACAGCGGTCACTTTTGGACGTTTCAATCGTCGCGTACCCTCGTTTCGCGTGGCAGGCGTGGCACTTTATGACTTTCCAACATGTTTCATAACATGTCAAAAATATTCAAAAATCGTTCTGTTTTCAGAAGATGCGTTCCAGTTTTCGTTTCAGGCGCAGCACTTTGGCAACCTCCATCGTCATTTCGCGTGGCAGGCCCCGAACTTTAGACGTGTCATGCTGCGTGTTTTTTGCGAATCGCATTGTCAGGGCTGCGTCAAGTGGCGACAAGCTGCAAATTGCGTGGCGGGCGTGGCATCTTGTGAGACGTGTTGAAAATTGACGGAAGCCTCGCAGGAAACATCGATTTTCAGGTAGCAAGTTGCGGTATTCATAAGAAAATTCGTAGGAAAACGTCGATTTTGAAGCTACACAATGTGAAAATTGGAGGAAGTCTTGCATGAAATGCTCTTTTTGATGCTCCAACATGTCTCGTCTCGGGTCTCCGGTTTTCCTCTGGCCTCGCCGTGTCTATGGGGGAAGCTGCAAACCTACCCTGTTTCACGGTGAGAGCAAATTGTAATGTGGTTTTGCGTGGCAGGCGTGGCACTTCGTGACATTCTCATTCGTCTGCAAACGTGTCGAAAATCATGTTGTGTCGCAGGCGCAACAAGTTGGCTCATTTTCAGAAGATGAGGTGCACTACACTCCACACTTTACACTCCTCCACTTTAGACTTGACATTTTACACTCCGCGCTCTACACTGCACACTTTACACTCTACACTTCACACTCCACACTTTACACTCCGCGTTTTGCAGTTGACACTTCACACTTCACGCTTTACACTTGGCACTCCACTCTACGCATTTTAAACACTCTATATTTGACATTTAACACTCCACAGTCGACACTTTCCACTTCAAGCTTTACACTTGGCACTCCACTCCGCGCATGTGACACTGTACGTCTCACATGTGCATTTTGGGTCGTGGAGGCTTGACTTTGGTGCAGTGCTGTTCATATGGTTTCTGTCGTGTTACCGCCCTGCGAATCCGGGATTGAAAAAAATCAATCCTGATCAATCTTGATCAATATTATTGTTTCTTTCAATATCGGATCCTCAGGGCGTTTTCTCTTTTCATGGCATTTGCACAGATTTCGGCTGTTCTCATGGTATTTGCAAAGATTTCGGCTGCTCGCAACTTCAGCAGTCAGTGCAGGACCGCATAGCTGGTTTGATGTCCGCTGAGTCAGCTTGTGACATTGTTTCATGCATGTGGTGTGTACAGATGTTTCTGTTCAATGATGTTCAAATGGTTGCTGTCGTTTTACCGTTGCCGTGGTCTATTGTCACCCCAGTTAAGAAAAAGTTCGGCCTTGTTGGGATTACAAAGTTAGTGCACAAGGTTAGTAACGGAAAAGAGGCAGAACTCACACGCACGTGAGCCACTGTGTTTGAAGCGTAAGTGTGTACCTGTGTGCTTGTTTGTGGACATGTGAGTGCAGGAAGTGTGTGTGCCTGTGTGTGTGTTTATTGTCACGATGGCGAGTAGACCCCGAGAGCTTCAATGGCGTAAGCTGGCGCGCGCTTGCTGCTTGAGAGGGCGCGTGACGTGGTATGTTGCTGCTGGCGCTGTGGCTTGTGGCGGCTTGTGGCTGCTACTTGGCGATGCTGCTGCCGCTGACCACGCTGCTTGGTGTCATTGCTGCATTGTGCTGCTGCCGAGCTTCCTGCGCTGTGTTCAGCTCGGACATATGCATGGTTTGCCGGGGCAAGAGA